TGTTGATTCCATATTTTATGGACAATATAATCTGTAATACGGTGGAAAATCCATTTCTTTAAGAAGGCTTTTTTTAACAATGTCAATATGTTAGTATTCCAGAGGTATCCTCCTAAATAACCTACTTTCCAGAGTGGTTTCGAATAAAGAAGTTGGTTCTTCGTATTACATTAAGTGGTTATCTTTTTTTTTTTAGGTACACTTCCAGCCGATGCCCAAACCTTTTAATTTCAATTAATCCTGCAGAGAATTCAGCTGTGAAGCACACACACACACACACACATAAATTATTCAGCAACAGTAAACATGGAAAAACATGTCTGAATAAATGACTACATGGAAGAGGGGGTATGAAATTACACATCAGCCCAACAACAGCAACATTATGGCCCAACTACAAAGCCATATGATGCCGTGGAAGTCCCATCGTCTTAATTTCCCCATGGATTTACCAGCGGAGTTAGAAGTCATCTGCTGTGCCTATCCTGAAGCTTTTATCACAGGAAGTTGATCATTTGAGATGCGATTTGATTCCCAACACCCTTGTTTACTCTCAGACAATTAGCCAAGCATGTATTCCACACAGCACTGCCATAATTAAGAGCTTAATCAGGCAGGGAGTTGACGCGGAATGAGGCGGTAATAGCAACTCCCCTTTAGCACAATTTTTTACATCCGTCTGCTTCGTTTACTACCAGTTTTAAAGGAGCGGTGGGAAACGAAAATGTACCAGTTCGCAGTCTGACATGTGTCTCGGGTACACTGGGAAGTATGTAGTCCACTGAGTATATACAGCAGGAAAAAAACTTAGAAGTATAATCTTTGCATCATTTTTAGTTACTTAAAAAAAACATTACTTTGTCTAAATATTTGTCTCCTTGAGATGTTCAAACAAGCGCCGCTACCTTTAAAAAGTGCATTTGATTTGGATGAAAAAAAAAAAATTAAAGCTTAAAGCGGCCGAGCTAAAACATAAAACATTAAAAAAAAAAACGTGATGCTGTCCAAATGCGTTTGGAGCCCTGTGATGATGAGACCCAAAGGAAAGTGTGGTTAGACCGTTATGTTTGCCAATGAGCCGTCTGAAAAAATATCATCATTTAACCGAACAACAACTTCAATCTGTACGGTAGCCTACTTTCTCTCCGCTATACCGCCTCCTCCGGGCATAGGAGGTCCCCAGACAGCGTTAAAAACCGCAGGCATAACAAACCCACTTTGTTCCTGGAATCATGTTTTTGGATTGGGAGAAATTCTAGGGCGCTGTGAGAAAAGAAGCCCACAAAGCAGGGTGGGCTTTTTTCCCCCCTCTTGTTAAGGCTGTAATACACAGCCGATACCTGCTTTGTGCGCTCCGGTGTAATCCTCTCCCTTTGGTGAATGTCCCGAGGAATAAGCAACGTTGACCTTGGCAGATGCGGGGGGCTGGATTTGAGGGGTGTCTTTTTAGAAGCTCAGGTGTGTAATTGAGTAGAGCGGCGGGGCGGCTCGCTTTGATGGTGTTCGCACGAATGCGTGAGGGAACGAAAAAAAAAGGCAAGCAGAGGATCAGGGAAACACACAAAAGAGAGACACACACACATCAAGCAGTCAACAGCAAAAACTAGTCGAGGCAACAAGACTCATTTGGTAGACTGTGAGATTTAAGAGCAGACGTTAGCGCTGCGAGGCTCCTCGTCACCCAGACAGATCAGAATGAGCCCAGTTTTCCTCCGAGAAGCCCTCTGGTCCTCGGAGCAGCCCGGTCCAAAACATCAGCTTTGATGGAGGTTCAGTTCGCCCAATAAACCTCGCAGCCCCAGGCCATCATTAGTTCAATTTTGGCTTAAAGCCAGCGGTCTATTGGATTAAATCCTCAGCGCGTGCCTACCCAGCTCTTGACGGCGTTTTTCTTGCACCCGCAGATTCATTTTGTACTACTTCATATATCAAAAGTGCATTTTAAAGATATTACCTATAAATTACATAATTAACAGTGTCTTAACAAGCTGTAGGAGGTGAAAGTTTTAGTCGCCAAGCATTGATTTTGCCAGCTAGAATGACGACTGTTGCCGACAAATTTACCCAGCTGATTAACATTAATTCTGTGTTGGCCAAACAACTAGAAGATTTGTTTTTGGGGGGTCGCCTTGTTCACACAGTACGCAGAGAGAGAGACTCGAGGCCAAGGTGCTGCATGATCTGAAAGGGACAGGTGCACGCCGGCGCCCTGAAATCAACTGGAAGTTAGTTAGTGTAGTTTGGCGGCTGATTTGGCCCGCTGATCCTCACAGTCAGCATTTGGAGCTGCAGCGGCGGCCGTGGCACACACATCACGGAGGCCATTAAGGTACTTTAAAACCATTGGCTCCGGATTACCACAGTTTGCATCATAATTCACACTCCTTGGAGTAGTTAGCTCTGAACATGTAGAGCTTACACGCAGTTTTCAGTGTGACTTACACTTTCCGAAGATGTCATTATCTCCAGTGTCTATCGCCTATGAATGTCAATAAATTCATTGAGAAACACCAGAAAGAAGACACATGTTGTAGCTCCAGAACCCGCCTTAGAATCAAGTTGTCTTCAGTTTCAAAGTAATCCAGTTGTCTAAACACTCTATGGTACATTGCAAATAGGAACCGATAACAGCTAATTCGGCATTCTTTGGACGGTGCTAACTTGCCTGTTCGGTCAGGCCGGGAAGCTAATGTCAACGTTAGCTTAAGCAGCTAAAGTGCAGAGCTGTCAACAGAATCATTCAAGCCCACGGGAAGAGGGCCGGGCTTTGAAGCCAAATTTGTCATTGTGGCAAAAACCCTGAAATTACAGCTTCCAGGTCCGCCACGTGATGCCATTGGGCCCAAAAATACTTTTTTTCCCATAAAATTATATTGGGAAAGAGACGACTGGACCTAAGCCAATATTTAGTTTTTTTTAGGTAAATCAACTTCTCAGTACGAACACATAAATAGCCTTTATTTAAATCAGTTGGTCTTATTAGTTGTTAAATGGACTAATAGCCGGATCCAGAGTTATTCTCCGTCCTCCTGTCATGTGAGCGAACCTGAGAACAAGCGAAATGCTGAAGATCTGCGTAATTTCATTCTCCGAAGTCGAACTGTCGTAGGAATGAAAGGGGCAGCGTCCACAGTTGTATCCAGTTCTCTTTATACGCCCATGGTATCATGAGGGGTCATAAGTCAGATGTCATCAATTTGTCAGACATGACTTAGTTTAGTTTACTCTATTCTATGATAAAGCAAACAGACAACACATTATGCTATTGATTCAATAAAATGACACTTTTAAATGGCATGATTATATTTGAATATTATCAGGTAATTTCAGTATAATGGGCCTGCGAGGGCTAAATTGGTAAATTTTTCAAAAGAACAGTCAAGTCTATTTGGAAGTTGACTTTTTTCTGACTGGCTGGTTTGAATCCTTGGAGGACGTCAACAACAAGCAACAGCATGTTATCTGGTTCTATTCATGTGGAACGATTGTGTTCTTTAATAGTATGTAGACCACAATACAAAGCCTTGAGGTTCATTATCAAAAAATAATTAACAACTTTAATTTACAATCGTATTGTTGCTCAGAAAAATCACAATCGCACATTTTTCGTCAAATCATTCAACAATTCAACATTCACAATAATTATTACTTTTCCCTGAAATTATGCGATGTATCTTTTATTATCTCAATTTCAGCAAAAACGTTAATGGAATCAGCCCCTCTAAATAGCCAAATTAAATGGAATTGTGCAAAAAAGCAATACAGTGTTGACTCTTTTCACTTTAATTGGAAAAAGGTCAGCAATTATCTTGCGTAGATGAGAGATGGCATGAAGGATGACAAGAACTCTAACCACCGAGGCTGCCTGGTTCCTCTTTTCATTCCCATTCATTACGGGGACTAACTGGCTTGTCCTTTTGGAGGTAATAAAGGACGCACCTACCAATTTAGGAGATATGACAAAAACGGAATTGATTGATATATATCGGTCTGTGAGACGCATCGGTGTACTCCATCCAACAACAGCAGGAACAAACACGGAGACGCCAGAGCAGGGCAGCATTAGGACCAGTCTCCTCCTGGAGAACTAAATGAATGACTCGGACATTAACGTCTAATAATTCAACTTGATTACAAAATCCTCACGGCGACCAGCATCAATCACTAATTTGGTTCAATTTTAGTTTACACTAATGCAGCAAATTGACCAGGCCACAGGATAATGCAATCTAATTCATCAACAATATAAGTCACACAGCGGCTTCCCTTTGCACTAAATAACGTCACGAACACAGACAGTGAAATGAGGTTAAACGCTATCAAAAAGTTATTTGGGAAGCCCATTGGGTTCGGCCTAAATAGCGGTGCTGTGGGAATCTTCTCCTGTAATGTGAAAGGAGTTGGAAATAGCAGCTGAATCTATCGTGGCGGAGGCGAGAGAAATCCCTGACTGAATGTTTGATGAGGCACTTTGCAGCCCTGCAGGAGTCTCCTCTGCCTCACTGCTGCCGTGAAAATCCTGACAGGACCTGCGGGTCAAAAAGTCTGACAAGTCTTCTGCTTTCGGGCTTAAAAAAAACAAACACTGTGTTTACGCTGTTATGCAGCCCGGTGTTTGTTTTTTTCTCTCATAGCGTTTCCCGTATAATGAGAACTATAAAGTTAGCGCAAAGCACAACAAAGTCATTAAAAGTCATTTCTGGGTACTATACAGTGACTGACAGCTCGCCTCTTCTAATGAGGTGAAGCCACGGCGGTCTGGTGCTCCGAGCTGGGTAAAGCAGACCATAATTGAAGTATTTGCAAACAGCATGGTGTGTGTGTGTGTGTGTGTGTGTGTGTGTTTGGTTGGGTCTTCAATTACTGTACATATGATGGCATAGAAAAGCCTGTCAACGTACAGTCATTCTGTGCTCTTATGTTGTGCTGCCTGTCTATACTGGGAGTCATTCGTTCCCCCTCGCGTGGGGGCGGCTGCGTTGTGCTGCCGAGTTACTCACTCTGGGTGAAGCGTGGTGGGTTGTCGTTGACGTCGCTGAGCCGGACGGTGACGGTGGTGGTCCCGGATAATCCGCCCAGGTGGCCCCCCATGTCCTTGGCCTGAAGGAGGACCAGGTACTGGTCCTGGGTCTCCCTGTCCATGTCGGGCACGGCCGTGCGCAGAATGCCTATAGCGCACGGGAAAAAACAACACACATTTTAGTGTCAGGGTGGGGCCGTGGAGCGTTTAAAAAGAGAGGGAAAATGAGCTTTTCACTGTGGCGAGATGGCACCAAAATGACCGCAATGCATCTGCTTTGGACTAAAAGGGGTTTTTCGATCAATACTTATGACTCGACGATTGCCAGGCATGGAACCCTCTGGCTTCCAAAATACACTCTCTGGCCGGTGCTCCGTTTTTGGAACAAAAGCTGCACATTGGGATCTCGTCCAGTTCTACTCTTGTTTCTTGTTTTTTAACTACAGACCATCCTCTGTCTCAGGAGCGGTATCACAACGTGTTCTGCTCTTCACCGAGCATGCGTAGGCATCACTTTGTAACAAAGAACACTTTCAATTAGGCTTACAAGCTGTGACTAATGACCTCAATAATGGTTGATAAATCAAGTGTTAATGCTTTGTGGCTCTGTGTCGTGTATTTTGTAAAATACCTTGCTTTGCCCGTCAGTCCGGCCCTTTAATTCATCGACAATGTAACGTACAGTTCAGACTGTGGTGTGACAAAACCTCCCACCTTTTTCAGAGGCAATTGGATTAGCAGCTGACTTTAACTAGGTAGCCTATGAAATGGTGCACTGAGAGTCTTAATCAACACTGTGACCTTTTATGAAAGACTTATTAGCATACATAACAGCAGATGTGATCGCTTGCTATGAACCGGAGAGAGCCGGGACCCCTTGTTGAAGACTGCACTTACACATGTCCCTAAGTCGTTAATAAAAAGGTCGCGGGGCTCATGCTTTCCAATAAGCCATTTACCCTGCAGTTAAAAATGGATAAATGAATAAGTTGTTATTTCACGGAGGTGGGTCCAGATGCTCAGCGTCTCTTCTCTAAAGGGTAACCGGTAAAGCGAATCATTGCCCGGCGATTAGAGAGATACAAAGACAGAGTAGGATACGCCGCAGACAAATGGCTTGTCTTGCAACCGGGTAACCCAAAAGCCTAAACCTCTCAAATATCAATATTGTACCTGACTCAGAAACCTATAATTACCGATTTATGAAGCAATGATAAATCATTTAGTAGGCCTTTGTGTTTCCATTAGTCACAGCTACCCCTTTATAAAGTAAGCCTGACATTAGAGAGCGGTTCCCACTTCTATGACTGTATTTTGCTCGTCGCAATAAGACGACTGTGATTTTTACTTAATTCAAGTGCACACAAACAAGCTGTTCCTCGATCTATTCTTTTACAATCTTGCTCAAGCTTCCAAGATGGACAAGTGGTACTAATGTGTTTGTGACTCGTAATGTTCCCACCTTCCGTGCTGTGTTGAGCAATTGTATCTACAAATTTAACTGTCAATCGAATGACTCAGAAAATGTAATCATAAAGGCCTTAACTGAGCCAACACGGAGCGACACAAAGTATTCTTCTTGTTTTTGCAAACATTGGAACATCTGTATGTTTTTTAACCACGAGTGACTTTTGAACTGCAATGATTATACCTGCGTCTTGGTGTCCTCGTATTGTATTGAGTTTCTTTGTTGTATTTGTTTTTGTTGCTATATGGCCTCATGTGTTTGGAAATAAAGTTGAATATAAATATAAAAGTTGTTGCTGTGTTAAAAAAAAGAAAACGCCATAGCTTCCATTATATAGTATTTAAACTGATTTCACTCTGATTGACAGATCAAGTTCTTCCTGGAACTCTTGGGGCTTTTGAAGCCCTTTCAAAACCTATTGGACAACGTCAAACCGCCTTGTCGTCAGGCTGAAGACTTGACTGCCTTTCCTGACAATATGACAGCTTTTTGGAGACACCCAGTTTCCATTTGACAGCAACAATGCATTACTTAATGTCCCGTTAAAAGCGCACAGAAGCACACACACACACACACACACACACACGCACACACACACACAAATATATAAACACAGACATGTGAAGAAGCTCGTATGGCAGAGATAAATCACCCGACACCGACAACCAGACATGCTGACAGAGCGTAAAATCTGGTTCTGTATCTCACGCTATGTTCCACAGCACGCCGAGCCACATCACTTACAGGCATTCGACATCGATCACCTCCTCTGTGGAAATGGCCTCATTCTGCTACGTATGATTGGATGTTTGCACATACAAGTGCCTGGCTGCTCTCGCCCGACGTCGGCCAGAAACAGCGGGCCGGATGAACTCGACGGTGAGCTCAAGGTTGAATCACATTCGGCGCGGGCTTGTTTTGAATGCTAACAACGCCGCTGGAATATATGTCTGGGTTTCTGAGCAGAATTCATGAGCAAAACAAAAACTGGATGTGTGAGCAGACGCGCTCGCCTCGGAGCGTGTGGTTTGAATAAGACCTCTGGGTGATGGAGGCGACGAGGAACGGAGTGATTGAAAAAAGGGAGATATATCGGGAGCGGAGAGAAGAGAGCGGACGCGTTCAGAATACCAAAGCTGGTCTGATAGCACGGTGTCACGGCTAATACACACCGGCCGAGATTAGGGTTTATATTCCACAATTAGCATCTGGAAATGTGTCGCGGCTCTCATCGCTTGTTGCAGAGGTCCTCGCATGTCAAAGCAATCAATTACTAAAGATTCACATTCAGTGAGGGAAACACAAGTATCGGCCAACCGTGACCTGTCGCGTGGGCAAAATGTACGCTCGCATGCAGGGACATGCTCCCACACGCGGGGTAAAAAAAACAGCTTCGGCAGCCTCACCGTGAGCTAAATGCTAAGTGTTTCTGTGTGCGCCGTCGATCACAAATGGCATCTGAAGCGTCAGACAGTTAGAGCTCCATTTCTGAGTCAGCCGAGCAATGATTTCCCTCTGAGGTGCGACGCTAAAAAAGAAAAAAAAGTAATCATAATAAAATGAGATAGATAAATAAATAAAGCACCCTCCATTGAACATAAAGGAAAAAAAACAAAACTTTTTCGCCCTCAGGTGACAAGCGGGACACGGAGGCATATCGAGAACACACACAAATCAGGCGGGTCCTATGAGGCCCTCTGTAATCTGTCCCGCGCAACAGTTCACAAACATTTCTGCTGACGTCTCTCTTTTGAACACATGTCTTTCTTGTGTTGCCGTCATCCAGAAATAATAACATTGGGTCCGCTGTTGGGTTTTTGTTGTGCGCATACAGGAACTGGCAGCATGAATACATTTCTGCCAACTCATACCGGAGCGAACTGGGTAGAGGGGGGGGAGATACGTGTGTGTGTGTTTGTTTTAGAGGTGGGTATTTGAGGCAGAGGGGAAAAGGGAAGTGTGAAAGATGGATGACTAAGTGTGACAAGAGAACAAGGGATGCACAAGGGGGTAAAGCGTTAGTTTTAATGAGTGTGTGTGTGAGAGTGTGTGTGTGTGTGTGTGTGTGCGTGGGCATGGATTTTGTGAGAGTAACCAAGTGAAAGGGAGCAAGGAAAATAAAAATAAAAAAAACATGTGTGCTTCTCTGATTGTGCATGCAGCTCCACGCATTCTCGGAGGTTTCGCTCCACCTGTGTTTGCAAGCACATGTATGTGTGTGTGTGTGTGTGTTTGTTTTATCATGTCGATCCATTCTAACATGTCGTGTCTTCACGACTCGGGCCTGAATTCACTTGTGTGTGTTTTTGCATTTCGACATCTTGAGTATATTTGCTTTTCTGCAGCGCGCGCGTGTGTGTTTGCTTCCAGACATCTGTGCATCTTTTACATTTCTCTGCCCATGTGTGTTGTGAAGGGAACGTGCACACACACACACACACACACACACACACACACACACACACACACAC